AGAGTACCTTGTGGAATACAGGAGGGACAATATACCTTGTTGAAGACAGGAGGGATAGAGTACCTTGTTGAATACAGGAGGGACAATATACCTTGTTGAAGACAGGAGGGACAGAGTACCTTGTTGAAGACAGGGGGGACAGAATACCTTGTTGAATACAGGAGGGACAGAGTACCTTGTGGAATACAGGAGGGACAATATACCTTGTTGAAGACAGGAGGGATAGAGTACCTTGTTGAATACAGGAGGGACAATATACCTTGTTGAAGACAGGAGGGACAGAGTACCTTGTTGAAGACAGGGGGGACACTTTACCTTGATGAAGACAGGAGGGACAGATTACCTTGTTGAAGAAGACAGGAGGGACACTTTACCTTGTTGAAGACAGGAGGGATAGAGTACCTTGTTGAAGAAGACAGGAGGGACAGAGTGACTTGAACTACGTTAACGTTTAGTTAAACTTGATAAGGAGGTCACAAATCATAGCGATGATTTAATGGCTTCGGTTAGACGTCTGATGGTAATTACAGCCTACCTAACTACCACGTGTTTCAGTAATAGTGTGAATTAATAAATGACAGGTACTTGTCACGGTCTGTCCCGCAACATGTTGTACTGACATCATCATCTTGTCATTAATATATTTGTCATGTCAATCACAGGTCAGTGTGGCTCACATTGGTACACATCTAAGTTTAGATTTCACATACTAGCTATATAGTGTTACGGTATACATCTAAACTAAAGTGACGTTTTACATACTAACTAAACAAATAATGTATTTCGCATACTTGTTATTTGTGCATATTATTACCTTTAAGATATATGTTCTTGCTTTCTTTTAATTTAATAGTGCATTCCAGTTTAAACTAAAGCTTTCAACATTTCTTTGTTTCATTATGCTTCCTTTATGCTTGAAATTCCTGAACACAGAAAAGTTGAACATAAAAAAGTATACGAACATTATGACATAAGTGGTATATTTGATACCTTTTTTATTTTTTTTATTATTCTGACTATTTTAAAAATTATTTTATGGTCATATGAAGAAGGGATTTCTGAGGAGAAAAAAAAGTAAAAAAAATATAGGAGAGAAAAAGATTTATCAAAAGTGCTGTAATTGGGGCATCAGGTATATATTGGTTAATATAACACTTCAGGGGGGGGGGGGGGGGGCACAATAGTCGCTCAAATGGTCACTTAACAGAGAAGATCTCTTAATTAATAGAGTTTTGATATAGGGGTCAACAGAAAATTGCTTAATAGAGATGACCTTTTAAGCAGGTTTAATAGTATGATAGTATGAAGTTCAAAACCTGAGTTTGTGGAAACTTGAAGGTAAGGTGTATCAGGAAACCAGACCTGTTTTTGCATTATAATATAAACCTGTGTGGTTTAAGGCGATACGTCATTTTCAGACATTTCAGACATGGCTAATGTACGTTAACATTTCTTATGTATTTAACAGTGCTACATGTTACAAATGCTCTGTCATGGTGGTGTCCTGTGAGCGAAGCAAAACATTTATGTCGTTATTTTTTGTGTCTTAATTACTTGTACACCAAGTCTCACAGTATCATATTAGCAGTTTCAATGTGATAATATGCATACTCAACTCATTATTTCATCATTCATATAACGAGGAGAATTTCGCACCTCTCTCCTGTTTCAGCAGTAGGGTATTGCTATTTGGATATCTACCTGTTTGACCCCTGACACCGCCAACGAGTCCTAGAAGGACGGACCGGCCGTGCAGTGCAATGTAATTCATCTTTGGCTTACTTTATCTATTACCTTGTTTCACAGGTGCAGTCACTTATTTATCACATACCTGTTGAATCTTGTTATAGTAATACAAGCATTTTTTAGACCATGAAATACAACGTTCCGTATTGCAATACGGAATGTTGTATTTACCTACTAGCCGGAACTACTTTTTTATGGGAATCCCCTCGTCATGGCGAACTGAAAAGTTCCCGGTATTTGCAACAAAAAAAAGTTTATAAAATCTTAGTATCGATATCTACTAAATACGGAAGGTATGTGATAAAAGCAAGACCACACACTTGTGTTTTTCTAACGAATCAGAAAACACTCATTTATTGCGCGGACGTATATATTCGTCCGCGCAATAAACTCGTGCTTTCTGATTCGTTAAAAAAACCCACAAGTGTGTGGTCTTGATATGTATGTAACGTTAATCTATCAAGATACAAAGTGATAAACATTGCTGGTGGATTTATTAGACCCTGAGGTTTGCTGTAGTCTTAATGGCCATAGTTATCTCTTTTGAATAACAGTACTAACAGCAGAGTCCCTATAGACACACTTTACTCACAATTAATTTAAAGTTAACAAGTACTTTTCTTATTTTTGAAATTAATCTAATTAAGGGATTGTACTCACCTCCTCTCTCTTTAAACATAGATATATAATTTGATGTCCTACTCTAGGCCCCTATCCTCCCCGATAAGTCGTGGAAGGACGACACAGCTGTGTGGTGAAATGTATCTTTTGCACACTGTATCAATTACCAAAGTTTACAGGGGCATTTGCTTGTATATCATACGTTTAACTTTAAAATACAAGGTGTTAGAAGGTATTGGCGAGTTTCTTAGTCCTCACGGTGTTTTCAGTAACCTTGATTCATTGACGAAACAGACTTATGATACAGTGCTGTTTATTATTGTTATACTGTACTATATCTATTACAGATATGTCTTTATTTAATCTTATATTAGATTAATGAAAATTTGCGATAATTCGTTGAATTATTTTTTTTATTATTATTATACACGGATATATTTTATGCGGGGAGGGAGTTAGATGCATTAACCATTTATGAAAATGTATTTCCTGATTGTTGGTATTTTGAATTAGAGAGAAAAAAATGAAAAAATCACAGATGTATTGGATTTCGCTAAGTTTCGAATCCTATACATAATGTCAAAATCAAACACCTATATCACCTGTGACATTTCATAATATGATGTAATAAAAAAACGAATTAAAAACAAAATTCCGACCTGTCAAGGATACATTATACTTTTACGTCAACTCTTCAATCACATTACCGGTTAGTCACATCTGTCTTCAAAAAAATGCAGCCAAGTCTCTTCATATTGTAATGTTTATACAGTAACCCTTGTTATGCTATCAGATTATAGGCAAATTACCTGGAACAGTAAAACTTTGTTTTTTATCTGATATAACGTCTCCTAATTATACACTGCCACCATTCTACAGTCAAACTTCGTTATACTGCCATCTCTTTTGGTTAAAACCTGCTTTGAGTCTGAGTTTGAACTGCCACTGTTTCGCTGTCAAAGAGTGACGTCTGGAGACCATAAAAACCATGGCAACTCATGTCTATTCTACATATCCTAACAGCTATTGCATCACAAACTACTTCCAAATAACTTGAAAACACAAATAAATTACATATATAGGTGCCGATACAAAGTGACATTGGATAGATAAAATATTTAAATATTTTGCGGTTGTACTTATGTCTACAATTCTTTTGTTTCTCTTGGAGGTCGACATAGATGCATCAGGAGAGGAAGTGGTACAGGGGGAGGGAGAAGTCCATATCAACGAAACATTATGCAAGTGATTGATCAAGGTAACATACTGAACATTTAGTGATTTATGTATAGTTACATATCCGCTGCATGTCTCTACATTAACACTACCAGAAATAGAGAACATAGGGCTATCAACTTAATGAAGTCAATATCATTTTGATGTTTTCCCTTCTGACATGCATAACATAAGACCAGCGTAAGATGCAAACATTTAGGTGGGGTTAGGCTGTTCCAAGAATATTGTTGGCACTGACGATACAGATACTTCGATACCACAAGTATTAGCTCTAGTGAGCTTTGTGGAATGTGGTGTATAGGTTGGAGTCATTGAATATTAAGGCCGTGTGGCGGTATGTCCCGAGGATCTGGGATAGTCATCGTCTAGTTTAGTTTTGCTGTATGGGTCAAAGCGAACCAGACGACTTTTGCCTCCACTCAGTAAGATAGTTTACATGACTATGTTAGATGGTTACAAATATCTGCTGTACCAACCTGTTGTGTATTTCCACTGCAGGACACACTGACTACACGTCAAACCACGAGGGATGCCAAGTCTTAGGTGATGAATTCCACTTCCGGCAGGAACGAAATGGACTCCGCCATCTTCTCCACCTTCGACCTGGAGCACATGCTGGTCTAGGCATTCCTGAGTCACCCTGGTGTTGACGTCATTATTCGGACACAGCCGGAACTCAAACTGACCTCGATGGTGCGCCGAAATATCAACAGTGACGTTGATATATTCTTCGGTGATGTCATAGTAACGGACAATGGTTCCAGTTGCATATTTCCCTCCAGCCTCGTTTTCAAATGGACCCTGGAAGGGATCGCCACAGACCCCACACTTTCCATCATTGACCACTGTGTTCTGTGAATGAAACAATCTTTTGTTATTGCTGTTTATACCGCTTTAGATAATAATTTTGAAATATGAACTTTCTTAACGTTTTAGTCTATTTCATATTATGAACGTTTGAATGTGTTCCCCAGTTTGCAGATATGTCCCAAATTGCTTCAATATCACAACTGTTTGTATTACTGTCCAACAGGAGGACCATTTAGACTACGTGTTATTTGTAAACTTACACTACATTATTGATAAAATAATTTGACCAATCAAGGCAAAATTTGAAGAAAAACATGGTACAAGGCGACAAAAATTGGTTTAAAAGTTTTGGTAATGTTGGAGTGTTTAATAATTCATTCAAGCTCTCCATAATTATCAAAACATTTGAGACCATTTCTGTGATCACCAATCGTCCCCATTTTGCAGGTTCCCAATTAAACTTAAGCATATCTTGTACAAATCAGACTTGATTTTTTATTTCGATTTACAAATCAATTTACACGAGACAGTCATGTATTATAACGCGCACTCTCTCAACTCTGAATTCACCATGTGTACTCAACGCTGTTTTAATTAATATATGAAAAAAAAACCTGAAAGGTCGAACATGAATGTGGTTTGTACTGTAGACAGAAAAAAAATTCATTTGATTGATGGTGTGATGAGGCGATGACATTTAGGGTAGGTTTGGACAATAATACCTTGCGAGGAGAGGCACCAGTTTTAAACTTTCATTGGAAAATCATCTAAGCTTACATTAACTTTAATATATAATTTGAGCTATGATATTTAGTCTTAACAAGACTAAAAGATAGGGCTGCACCGGTATATCGTATCGTATCGCGATAATTTTGCCTGTATCGCGATACGCTAACAGTCCTTGAATTATCAATCATTTTTTATCAAACTCCAAAAGGGTTTAGATGTCAAATGTTCAGCCATGCCCTAAAGTACTAAAAATCATGCAAAAATATATTCTGATAGTATTTACTACTGAAGTCTATGATGAAACTCGATTAAATTCTGCATTCAATCATTTGTGTATCGTGATACGTATTGTATCGTAAGCATCGTACCGAGATATGTATCGGATCGTTGCAGCCCTACTAAAAGGGTCTGATGAAATACTAATGTTAAACAATTTGGAAAGTATTTTGATGGTACAATATATATATATATTATCGAACTTTTGTATTTGTCTAGATAAAAATATTAAGTTTAAATCGTCTCAAATATTACATAAAATACATGCAAAGTATTGCCGGCATCAATATCTGCAAAACCTGAAAGTTCCTAACCTAAGGGGAAATTTGTTTAAATTATTCATTAACAGGAAAAATCTATAATAAACTACACCCGTGCAAGATTTTATTATAATATATACTAACTTTGTCTGTTAATTAAGGATATTTTAACAGTTCTCGCCTCTTTTATAATGGTCGACGTGCCGTCCAAAGAAAACAGATCTAACACAAAGGGAATATTAAAATAATATATATGTATTTTCGATTGCTATTAATATTTTAACGATCACTATCATGGCGATAATTTATCAACAAAATTACGAAAACTATTATATATTTTTACGCTTAACAATCAATATGTTTCCGATTACTTTAACTTTATTTACGATCAATAACCACAAGTAAAATGACTGTTAGGATTCGAAGACATTGTTTTTTGAGAAATTAACCCATTTGTGTATGTTGTGCCTTTTATGCATGTCTCCCACTTGGAAAATCGCTGGGATATTTTGTTGATATTAAATGCCGTTGGATATAATGTGTATACACGATGGTTAATGACAATAGATGTCATACTATTTGTCCTTACCCTGTAGCCGCCACAGAACAGTTGGTTATCATTGTAATTGACGGGCGTGTTGTACCCGAACCTCCACATAGAAGATCGCCCAGCAGGTTCTAGGAGACGGCCATGACCGGAAACGAGGACTATACAATAGTGTATCCAAAGTAACACCACCAGACGCGACATGTCGGTTTCTCTTGGCAACACAAGGAGGCGAAACTGTTCTGTGAGGTTATCCTTGACCAACACAGCAAAGTCAGAGAGAACAGTTCACAATCAAGGGGGAGACGCCCTGATGTCACAATGTTAGTCACTATCCGGTAGATTGTCCTTGTTCGAATGCTTATTCGCAGACTATTGTTCAATTACTGTTGTTTTGTTTCTTTCTTCGCTATGCTTTGATAAACAGTCCACTATTTAGAACAGATGTAGCAAACACTTTGTGTTACTCCCCAACGTTTAACATGTTCACGGATCAGTATGCTTTTATCAAAATATCATCACAGAATGCTGTATACTTCACGAAACTTTTAAACGATTGGTATTACTCATTTAAGCACAACAAAACACTTAAACAGACGCAATCTACATATATATATCACAGGGTCATAGTTAATGTTTTTACCTTACAATGCTTCGTCATAATAAATAAAGATAATTATCAAAAGTATATAATTTTCATAAATATGACTTTTTTTCAAACATAAATAATTTGCACTTGAGCGATGTATAATATGCCGTGTAGGTAAAGAATCGTTCCGCCAGCTATTTACTCAGCGCCACATTTACTGTCGAAGCAGCATCACTGTTGTACCTGTGGTATAAGCCTTGTGCCAGTGGTAGTATAGCATCACTCCTGTCTCTGTTGTCTTCTCCTGTCTCAGTACTGTCAACCTCGTGTCGTTTTGTCTTATGGCGAGGTTACGTCACGCGCTGTTGTTCGGTAGTTATCTGTTGCTCTTCAAAGGTAAGTGTTACACCTGGCTTAATTGGCTGATAACAGGTGAGTGTTACACCTGGGATGTTTGTTTCAACAACGAGTCTGATTTACGTGACTTTTTAAATAATCAGACTCTGATTTCAAAACAGACATATATGTGGTATATGAATATAACTGTTTCAGATACTGTAGTAACGCCAAATAGACAGGTTAGGCAGGAATCAATGCAATGTGAAATTTAGAAAAAAAACATTTTAACATCATAGATAATTCCTGAATCTATAACTGTCTTTTGCCGTTAAGTAATTAAACTTAATATATCTTTCACACTTTCGGATGAATACTGATAAGGTATGTAATTATACATCAAAACGAAAAAAATAACTTGTTACTATCTGTCATGCGTATCAAAATATGAAAACTGAAATGTAAAAGTTATGCGACAATTTTGTCAACAGAATTAAATTGTGTTTTTGTTATTGATGATATTAAATAAGAGAATATATAATATAAATTGATATGATGTTAATATATGTAAATGTTTACATTACCCGTAATCATTAATCAGAAATTTAAATTTAACGTATATACCGGTGAACTATTTAAATATGTATATTCCTAGGTATATTTAGACTGCGGTAAATATTTGACGTATTTTCTAATAATATTTAGCTTATTTATGCTATTATGTATTTTCTTTCCTTGCCTAGTCCTATGCCTACTGCAGTGCCCGATTGGTATTGTGATATATATACATATTTATCTAATATAAATAGGATGATTACGTAGTTTTTAATTTTATAGGTTTCCCACTACTCCTTATCCGTGACGTATCTATGACCTCATTACGCACATGAGCCCTCCTGGACCAATAAGTACCTGTTATGGCATTGTGTGAGTACAGACTGATCCATCATAACCTAGATCACGACTTACTGGTTACACAGCGTGACGGCTCACCGACACACGTAAGCCTAGTCAGCTTAACACAGCATCAGTAACAGACGTATAAATTGATATGAAGTGGCCAGTTCTACCATAAAGATATTTTTTTCAGACACATTTTTTAACTTGTTTATAAACATGTGTAGAAATACAGGTTATATCTTGCTTGAGAGTGGTCTTTTTGGATCCAGGTCAAGCACGTTTTTGTCAGTTTTAATTATAAAAAAAATATCATAGATTCGTACTTTAAATTAATTTGAAATACGTTAGAATAGTGAGCTTGTGTCCAGAAGAACTCTTCACAAAATTAAAGACCCTAATTTCAGTACTGTCAGCTTATCAAAATGATAAGATAGTCCAAATATCATCTATACAGCACAAACTTGCAAAGCCAAAACCTGAGGATGCGAGCCCTGAATACACACAGGAACTCCCACGAACCTAAGGATATATGTTAGGTTTTGCAATTTACTTCGTAGAATAAACACTCAGCTACAGCACAAACAGACTATTTATAAAAAAAAATCGTGTACTACTATAAAGTGTTAAAATTCATTATTTAAGTAAATTCAAACACTATGATATCACATAAATAGCCGTCATGGTTGTACTTTTCATGACAAAAAATGTGCCTTTCATTAATTGAATAAATTAAGTTACCGGTGACCCATTTTTTTCATACTCAGTAAACAGATATATCATAATTATATAAGATGACGCACACAGGAATGATACACGGAGGTAGACTACAGTCACCGACACACATAACAATGGACAATTGATGTTAGTTACGGACAATTCATTCATAAAAACATTATGATAATAATAATAAACTTAATTTACTGAGGATTCAGACTTGATTTAGCTAAAGGCTAATCACAGGGTCATCTAGAAAAGTAAAATGAGTAAGTATTTCAAAAGCACATACTATTTCTAATGATTATATCAATATCGATTAAATATCAATGGAAATATTATTTACTTTTAACTGTTCATATAAGCACACGCATGGGTATATTTCTTTACTTAACATATCACACTAAACTTAAATTTAATGCTTAAGGTTTAGTTTCAGTTTAATAGCCAGAACTAACATAGCAAAGTGTAAGAAGTTACAGGAAATACCAAAACCGGTCTCATTGTCTAATTGTATTAATCGCGGTATTGCTCTTTGCCTTAAAAAGTTCGAAAAATGGATATGATCGTACATCATAATAGAAATGTGTTCCAAGTTTGAAAATGCTAACAACACAAAGACTACAACAGAAGGTTGCCTTGTGCTTAGAAATGTAATGCATATTTTGCTCCGTCCAATTGAAAGACAGTTATAAAAAACAAAACAGAAAATTGATGTTGCTACATGATATTTTAATAATCTTAATTAAACCGATATCAAATTCTACCAGTAGATATATTGTCGACAAGTAATGTTTCAATTATGTATTTTTGACATTGCATGTATATTTTGCTCTATTTGGCTAAAATGTGTTCACGTATCCATGAAGTTAGACAAAAATATGTTCATGTTAAACAATTAAAACAGTTATCTATAAAGATCTTTCAGAAAATCGTTGCATAGTTATTATATCAGTGTGACTTTCTATATTGGCACCCTCCTTTTACGAGGCAGTGTCACACAGTTTGTGAAACCAAGCTAGCTGTTAACAAGATTGCCTACGTTCATGCTGACAAAGTATGTAATAAAATAGCACAGCTGTCCTATGAGAAAGCGAATTACCTCAATCTACTGGCACTGCAAGCCTGTGTGTATATATAATAAATAACCGCAGGGAGAGCGTATCCTACTTTCTAACGCCACATCGCACCCTCGTGATTTCCCGGATTTCCGTCACCACATTTCGACCCAAAGTTTTCCTACCGAGGTCAACTCGTTTATGTGCTTCCGACAGCGTGTTCAGGCAGAATCAATGATGGAAAAATGAAAAGAGATTTTACATGACACTGTTGTTCAAGTAGATCAACGCATTTCTGTTCACTAAAGTAGACAATACGATTATGGTTGCGTTTATTTTGAGAAACCAAAACAAAGGACATTTTGCCCAGAAACGGGTCCTGATCCAAAAATGAAACGATTCGATTTATTTTCAATCTTAATATCCAGACAAATTAGTTATTAACAGTATGAAAAAAAAAAGTTATTTATAAAAAAAAAAAAAAAAAAAAAAAAAAAAAAAAAACATCACTAACTATAAGTGTTCTCAATCTACTCATTTTGATCTCGATACACATTTGATCTCTGCAAGATTGTGATTAGATTCAGGTATCAAACCTGTCCAACCCCTGGACTGGTACATGTCGCTCTAACCTTATGGAAGAGCTTTACTCAACATCACAGCCCGTCCAACCCCTAGACTGATACCTGTCGATCTAAAATTATGGAAGAGCTTCACCCAACATCAAACTTGTCCAACCCCTAGACTGATACCTGTCGCTCTAACCTTATGGAAGAGCTTTACTCAACATCACAGCCCGTCCAACCCCTAGACTGATCCCTGTCGATCTAAAATTATGGAAGAGCTTCTCCCAACATCAAACCTGTCCAACCCCTGGACTGGTACATGTCGCTCTAACCTTATGGAAGAGCTTTACTCAACATCACAGCCCGTCCAACCCCTAGACTGATACCTGACGCTCTAACATTATGGAAGAGCTTCACCCAACATCAAAGCCTGTCCAACTCCTAGACTGATACCTGTCGCTCTAACATTATGGAAGAAATCCACCCAACATCACAACCTGTCGATTTTACCGTTACCCTGCCGAACTATTCCTTTTATGTTCATTCCCAGAAATCAGACTAGTAAACTTGTATCGCTTACGAGATGTCGCGTACGCGTAATGGAGACATCGGTTTTATCATGACAGAGTATTTGTTTATAGAGTGTGGGAGCATGGATTTCGAAGATGTTATTCACGCTGAAGTTATTTTAATGTTTTTCTCTTGACCCGATTTCTACTCTGACTTCACAGTGTCTATCTATAGTTTTAAGATTTGGTCATGTTGTCTGAGATCGTGACCGATTAGCTTACTATTGTTTTGACGGTAGACATTATGGTGGTTCAGTATGTGCCACAGCAACGTTAACCCTTTCGGAGTACCTGTTCTCGCCTTCAGGGTTTCGGTTAAGGTTCGTGATGTATTTTGTTTCGTTTCGACGTGTCTTCTCTCCAAAAATTGCCCCTGTATATCGAATTTGAATTCGGCAATTTTGACCTTTATAATTTAACACTATGGAACAATTGTTTCTCTTTAAAAGCGAATATTTTCATAAGCGACGTCAAATGTAATAATAAACATATTTCACAAGAAGAATATATTTTTGCTGTTTTAATTTGAAATTATGACTTTGAAATAATGTGGTGTGAACATTGCGCAATAAGATTTATGAAGTTTTGTTTGTGTTTGACGTCCTATTAACAGCTATGGTCATTTAAGGACGTGCCAGGCTCAGGTAGTGGAGGAAAGCAGGAGTTCCCGGAGAAAAAACACCGACCTACGGCCAGTAACTGGCGACTGCCCCACCCAGGAAGGCCTCGAACCCACGACCTAGTGTTTTAAGGGCTTGTTGTAACAGAATGTCAGACGCCTTTCTGTTATGTTTGAAGAACATTTTGTTCCTGGAATATTGATTTCATTTCTTTGCTGAGCGCTGTTAACTGACAAAATGTACAAAAACTTGTGATACAGTATAACGTAACAGGAAACAAGGGTGATTTATTGTCCATGATATCTACATACATCAAACTATCTATTAAAGACACTAATAAGTACGTTTATTTACTACATTCCTTCGTAACCACACATCGATCGTATTTATCATCATAGCGGTTGAAGAGCATATCGCCACAATAAGATCGCACATGGCCTACCAGGTGAAATAGTAGAACAGTATAACAAGGGGTTAAAATTGTGTCGAGAACCATTGTACAAAGGTAACAGATTGAAGACATAAAATGAAAGGAATGGTTCA